TTATGGGGAAGCCAGCACCTATCCCAGCAAGCAATGTTTGCAAAGCAGGGTACGCCCTGGATGGGACGCCAGTCTATTGCAGGACAAACGGGCATAAGTACAGACACAGACATCAATTGTCCCATTTTCCCAGAAGCCAGTTAACCTAACTGTATGGTTTTGGACTGTGGGAGGAAACTGGAGCACCCAGAGGAATCCCACATGAACATAGTGAGAACATACAAACTTCATGCAGATAGCACTCCAATTGGAATTGAACCCATGTGCTGCGAGACCACAATTCTAACAACAGCACCACTGTGCTGCCCTCACTAGCATGTATCTTTATTTAAAATTCTCATCACCTGTAATTCGACTTAAAAAACTTAAATTTTAAAATTGTCAATTAAACTTGGTTTACTACAATGTAATTGTTTAATAGGGTGAACTTCAAATAGGTGATAAAATAAGAGCAGAGAGGTATTGCACTTCAACCTACAGTACAACAATTAAAAAACACTTGTTCAATTTTAATCTAACAGCTGTTAGCAAATCATCTGTTAAAAATCTATATTGCAAAAGAAAATTTAAAGACAGTTAACTTAATACCTTTAATATATAATTGTTTCAGACCAGCTGTTGAAGTTTTAATTAAGCTCCTAAAGGATTTAATTGTCTTAAAACTCAGTCCTTTGAACTCCCCAGCCTCAAATGTGTGGCAACCAGAAAAGTGTTTCCAGTCATGTGTGTTGAGCTATAGAAGCTGTTAACCAAAACCATTGAAACATAATCCAGCCTCAGAGCAGCCTGAAGTATAAAAAAACAAACATATAAACTGCTTAGCAATTTCAAGAAATAATATGGAGCTACAGGCATAGAATATTATGGAGTTACTCAGCTAATCCATATGGCAAAGACCAGAATCTTTAACTACTTAATCAACTTGGATGAATCATTGTAAACGTCAACGAATAAACTTAAAAAGGTATAATTGGTACATATGTACAGTATACTTTAATAAGCTATGTATTGAACAAATATTTTTTTTCTGTTGAAGAAAACTAGTACTTCCATCTGCAGTTGTATATCATTTGTTTTGGACCAAAACCAGTCCTCATAGACGGAGGATTAAGTAAAAAATAGTTTTAAAACTGTCAGGATTGGGAAAATGAAAAAAATTACATTTAAATGTAACAGACTCATCCATTTTAGACTGCTCTTTTTTATGCCTTTTTGGAAGATTTAGGGTGATATTTTTAAAGAGAAGTCTAATTTAATGGCTGACCAATTAGATCATTTGCTTTATGATTTGATACCCAGTGAGCCTATAGAAATAGACATTATGCAATAAATAAGCATTCCCATTTGTGATTTGGGGAAAAAAAGATGAATGCTTTCAGGATTACATGTTTTTTTCTGGAATTGTTTTTAAGATGTGGGCTTAATTTACATTTCATTGCTTTTTGAAACTATGCATTTCAGGACCATTCTTCACTGATTGGTTTAAGGCACAGAATCATTAATCTACCCCAGATGTTGGGTGCAATTTTCTAGAAATACATATGCATCATAAGCAAATCTAAGATATGTTTTTACAAACATATTATAACATAAAGAATGTATTTACTGATGGGAAGGTTCATGTTTGGTTTTCACTATTCATGTTTCTATTAAATAATCACCTTGATATTGACAACACATAATTAATGCTCTTGGTTAACATGAGAAAAGCAGTAGTCCATTGGTTTCCCACAATTAAACATGGATTGTTAAACACACCTGGTACCACCCAGAACAGTATACTCATTATATTAGAATCTTTGACTATTCCAAGTTCTTGTAACTACAGCAGAGTTCCTGTAAATCCAGTCCAGATAGAAAAAGTCATTATGAGTGCATTATGTTACTTGTTTTTTTAATATTCCATTATAGGAAGATCATTACTGTAAAAATAAAACAATTGGCTAACAGGTCATCATGATGATATGAGTATACAGTATTACTATATGATAAATATGGCCTGCTAGGTAGCAGCGAAAGAAGGAATGCTTGGTATGGCTTCACTGTTTTCTGATATGTAGGTGGGTGTTTGCCCTGTCCTTTGATATGCAAAACGAGTTGATTTGTTTGTCCTGTTTTATGGTATGTGAGTGTTATTCCTGGGAAGTAAATTACTTGCTTCAGCTGCTACTATACAGTAATACCTTCCAAGTGTTGTTAAGTAGTAATATCGAAGAGCTGGATATGTGCTATATTTGTATGTCCCACTTCAACTATGTAAGTGAAAAGCCAAAAGCTGTTTATTTTCTGTCTTTTTCTGCCCTAATACGTGACTGAAGAGGAGAACTCCCTTCATGCCAGAGTTATCTTATGGGACTCACATCACAATCTGATTTAATTTTCTTGACATTTAATTGCCTTACAATGATGAGGTCTTGATAGAAAGGTAAACCAAGGCTTGTTTGTGTTGCTGAAACAACAAATTCAATATGTTCCTTCGTCAGTAATGGTTTCTGTCTTTTTCTTAGCTAAAGGATAAACTAATGAGTGATTCTCCATGGTCCTTTTGAGTCGCTTGTGAGGGGAATTATACCCAATCAGGTCACTAGTGCCTTTCGTAAAAGATTTCTATCACCTGAGATTCAAACTTTGGTCCAGGATCTATCTTCCCATCGTAACCTGCTGGCTGTGAATTTCCCCAATTTGAACAGCTGTAAGTACTTTTTTGAAAGAGATAACTTCTGTACTGTAACTTTGATCCGGTAGGCAAAGGGGAGAACAACATTTCTCCACTGAATTGTGTTCAGTATTTAAAAAAGTGTTGTTGACAGTAACATTGAAATGTGTAGTGTACAGTTGAGTGGGGGGTAGCTGCATGGTAAGAAACAAATCATCTAGATTGCACTTTTGTTTTTCTTTTTTCCAGTAATTTTTCTATCTAGGTTTTTGCTGTGAAGCATTCTTTAGAGAAATCTTTCTCTGGATGCGCTTTGCATTAGATTTTCTAATATACCAGTAGCACACATTCTAGTAGACCAGTTGCCTCCAAATTAATCTCTATCTTTACTGATATGTAACTGAAAGTGGACTTCAAGAAAAAAATGCAAATGTACATTCAGTATGTGTTTAAGAAATGAAAAACTGAAAACAATTGTGTAAAATAAACGCACATATGTTTTACAATGTGTATTTGCCCAATTTCAAATGTAATTTTGAAGTTAACAAAAACACCACCACCACTGTTTGTCTAAAATAACCGGTTAAAGTTTGTAATCCATTTGTCCATCAGATCTAACAAGAACCAAAGGATTCAAAAGAACCTTGAATCATAAGAGATCCACTTATGAGATGAAGGACTTTATCAACAGAAGTTTCACCTTTCTTGTCTAATCATACCCCTTGGCGAAGTCTTCTCTGTCCATTTTATAAGTGCTTCATCCAGTTCAGGGTAATAGGGGAGCAGAAAATGGATCTCAAGGAAACAACAAGGTGCAAGGAATGGTACTCTCTGGAAGGGAAACCAGTCCAGTGCAGTACAACCACAGATTCAGAGAATGCTCACAGTAGGGCCAGTTTTCCTGAAAACCAATTAACTTAATACTATGTCTTTCATATGAGGGAAGAAACCATAGCACCCAGACGAAACACACACTAGTACAAAGGGAAACCAAACTCCACATAGATGGCACCCCAGGTCCAGAATTGAACCAGTGTGCCACTGTCCTATCTGATTTAAGAATCAGTTAGTATTTATTAGGAAAATTGTAATAAATATTTGTATTGTCAAGGATCTTTGCCACAGACACCACATTCATGAGGCCATCTTTGATACCTGAGTTTTTTTAAAGTTCCAAATTGGTGAGTTACCCTTCCAAGCTAATTTTTTCTTCATCCCTCCTTAATGGAGTAGCAACCATCAACAAATGATGGATGTCACAGTTGAAACTGTGGAATGTCTTATGGATTTCTAGAGTCATCATTAGAGTTGTTGAGAAAGATAATCTTTCACCTCAGATCTTTGGGTAATATCTCACTTTCTCATGATGGTGTAGTATTGAGTACTTTTGCTTCAGTGTTCGGCCTCTGTAATACCATCAAGAAGGACTCAAAGTGTAATACCATTAAGAAAAAGTCAAAAGATTGTGCAATGGTGAGCACTAACATAATTTATAAATTACATTTGTAAATGAAAATGTAAATAAATAATTCAACACACCCTTTTTGACAAAAACAGCATTAAAATATCAGTTCTTAGATTTAACTACAATGGAGGTTGTCCAGAGTATGAGATAGTGTTCTTGACATGATGGTCAGGATCCACGGTAGTCTGACAGGGCTGGTCTGGATCAAGAAATTGGTTCAGGATATTTGTGTCTTTTGGCAGATTTATGAGATTTCAGAAATTTAATTGATGTGACATTCCTCTTGCATTTGTTCAATGTCTCTGTTCAGCAGAACAGTTTATATTCTGAATTATTGTTGATAAAGGTGCCAGCCTGTGCCAGTCTGTTTTGCTAATTTATCTAAATTCGTTTTTTTCAGTGTTTTATTAAAACTGTTATTATTGTTCTTTTTTGTATGTGAGAAAGTAAGACGGTGACAAATGGAATTCAAGCTCAGACCACTTTCCGTGGACAGATAACTGTTTTTCTCCAACGTATCCGATATGCTGCATTTATTAAAACATTTTTAGATATTTCTATAAAAGTGTATTTACAAATTTTTCATTTTCCAAATAATTTATACTGGCATAAAATAAGATTTGTACTGTGGCTGGATATATGTGCTAAACACAATATGAATATGATATGGATGCAAAGATACAGGTAGTACTGCTGTTACTTGTAAATAGGACAGATTTTCCACAATAGAAAAAATAGATTACGTAAAAGTTTGCTTGGAAGTTTTCCAGGCTCGTACAAAAATGTGTCTTTCCAAAGCAAGCAGGACCACAAACCCTGTGGGAAGCACTGAAGTGGATTTTTGGCTGCTTGTTCTGCAGCAGAGGATGGTAGCTGGTCATCAGCAGGGACAGAAGAAAAGAGAAGGGAGATAAACAGGGTGAAATCCAAAAATCAAGCAGGAAGCTGGCTGGCAGTCAAGCACTGCAAAATCAAATAAAAAATGGCTTCAGCAGCTATACTTAGCATCTAAATAAACAGAGAAATGGAAAACAAAAGCAGAAAATGGAGTTTCAGTGTTCTTTAATTGGATTTTAAGCCTGTTGTGAACACAAGGGATAACAATCTCCTGGCATTGAATGTGAGTACAATTGATACAGCCTGAACGGGTTACTGATCTGTGCAAATGAACTCATTCTGTGTTATCAGCAACCCCGTCACCATAGCCAGTCTATCAAATGAGCCTTACTTGATCATGATAAAGAAAACAGAGAATAAAAATTAATTTATAACTTGGAAATTGTTCAGAATAGTCACATGCTGATGGAGCATGTCTCTCATTTCAACAGCATTGATCTTGGTTCACTATGCTCTGCTTTCCTTGAAAATAGCATAAATGCTATCTGCTGTACTCAGCAGAGAAGATTGAATTTACTAATTTGTATAGTAGGTTCTATCATAAAGCAGGCATCTTCTGTGTTGGTGCATATAAAGTAGACCGCTCCAAATGCATCTCACCCTGCCAGTTCTAGGTACAGTCGCCAGTTGGAAGGGAATTATACTTGAAAGATGAAAAGAATGTTATATAGTATTTGTAGTGCTTTCCATTGGCGCACACAGGAAATGGTGGGTCTACCAAACCCTTTTGTATATTGTGTGTGTACTCTTGCTTTTTAATTGAAGAGTTTCCCTTGAATTATATCCCTTTAAATGTGTGTAAAAGTCAATTATGTGATTGAGAGGAAATTACAAAACTACTTTACTTTTTCCAACAATTCAGGACCAAGCTTTATTGGTCTATACTGTGATTTCCCTTGGATTGGTCTTTATTTTTCTAGAGAGACTATACAGAGGCTTCTCCATACCACTGGTTTCATATGTTATTTTAACGAACAGTTCTTTCTGGACCCTATGCGGACAACACAATCCAAAGAAGTGGGGAAACACTGGGAAAACGTCATGCAGGAATACGGGGATGAAAACAGGGGGGCGTGTCCAAAGTGCGCTGGTGCACGGGGGAGGTGTGGCCAAGGCAAACAATCCAAAAGAGTAATCCTTAGAGGGTATCCAAAAACACACGAGTAAGTCCAAAGCCAGGAGATCCATCAAGACAAGGAATTAAAAACACAAACCGGGTCGGAACCGGCAGACTAGGAACAGGAACAGAGGTTAAAACCTAAACGGGACCAGGCGCTTCCAGGTCCCGGACTCGCACGGTGTGGAAACCAGATGCAGAGCCCGGATGAGCGTCAGCGCCTGGCTCTTAAGGTGGGCTGGGAATAGGGATCAGGTGCACAGAATAAAGTCTAAAGTGAAAGGGCTGGAGCGCCCTTAAGGAGGGGGAACTATAATCGTGACAGTTATGCTAGGTTAGGTAATGAAGGAGGCTACAGCTTTGCATCATCATTATTTACGTAGGTGATGTTATTATCCAAAGCTAGTTACTCTATACTGTACATTTGAAATATAGTACTTGAATTGTTCCGGTTACATGCATGGCACATTTAAGGCACATTCGGACTGTCCCATCAGTTATGCTTATCCCACTTACAGTGCTCACAGTGCTTAGCAGTATACATAGCCCATTGAGTTAAGTAGTGCAGCTGGTTAGGACTTTCATAAAATAGCTAGCAAAGACAGAGGCTAGGTAAAAAACATAAGTATGTTGTTATTACACCTACATAAGAACATATAAAAGACTACAGATGTGTATGTTTGCTATAATGAGTTTAGCTCTGTGATTAGAATATTGCGCTAGCCCAAATGTGAGTCATATCGCCATACTGTGGCTGAGGTTACACAAATGGCAGCACGTGACTGACACAATGCCATCTAGGTAGGACTATTATTGATCAGCCAGAGTTCTTTTGGAGTTCCAGAAAGCATCTACTCATGTGCCTTTATAGCGGCCTATAGTGACATCGGTAAGACATTAATTGCTTTCCAATCAAAGCTAACTCTCTTGTCAAGAGTTGTGGAACTTGAAATGTCAAATGATGAATGACGTTGCAGGCAGGAACGTTGGAGGAGCATGCATGTCATTGTCATGTGTCCCGTTTCTAATTCTCTCCCCAGTCAGAAATCTTTGCTGGAGAGATACAGTACATATTAAAGAACAGTTGGTAATTCCTGATTGGGAGGGTTTATGATAAAAAAGAAAGGTTATGAGCTAGGATGCCATTTGTTCCCTCATTTTTATACTGTTATCAGTAGCTCGAAGATCCCCATCAAAACAGTTCTTGAATGTTATAACTCAACATGACTAGGCAGTTTTTTTAGTGTAAGTTACTGTTACCTAAATGCTAGTAGCAGTTCAATGTTAATCTCTTGATACAATAAAATTATTAGGGTCTGTAATAAATTATCATTTACTCCTACAGATTTTGTTTAATCTGCCTTGCAATAAGAAAAACCTTGTTGTTTATTTAGGAATATATTGCTTCTGAAACCCTTCCCTCAAGAATTATCCAAAATACATATAAATGATGATACAGTTAAAAGGCTTTTAATCAGGGGGGTTTCTATTTTTCAGAGATACTTATGTTTGCCATTGACGGACGTTAGCCTTCCACAGTGGCCTTTCTCTCCAGAACAGACTTCTGGAGCAGATTTATTAAACTGAAGTGCTGTCACTTAGCAATGCAAATCTGGGAGAAAATGTCATTATAAGCTACAGCCAAATGCATTAGAAACCCACAAATACTATTTCAGCTTGACAGCCAAATACTTGCTGGCTTCAGATTAAGAAAGAGAAAAAATGAATATTTGGGGACTCATTAAACAGAAATAGTATTTTCTTTGCTATTTTACAGATTTTACTGTATGCTGCCTGTGGACGCAATAAAAATCCAGAACAATTCTATTGTCATAATTCAAGGTAAAGAAAAACTGGAACAGATACCAAACAGCATTCTGTTGTAGCTAAATTTCCAAACTGAGAGCAGGAAATATTTTAATTATTAAGTTGGTGTGCTACAAAGTATTCAATAGCCTTATCTAAGCCGTGGCTTTCATTCATTTGTATTTCTGGCCAAATATAATCTTGCAGTCCTTTATTTTATGACAATTTGTACAATGTAGTTTCCCAAAAATATCAATTTACTACATTATTAAAACACTATTTATGTTAAGGTGTGTCCACAATCTTTTGTTTTAACTTTCATTCCATTGTGTTTTCGCATGGTACCATGTTTTTTATGTTTTTGCATAATCGTTTGTTATTTAAACTACACATGCTAAAATTATTGAATTTATGATATGAAAAATAAGCAAAATTGAGATCTGTCTCTTCTGCCATTTGGATGACAAATACTCTTCTATTTTTTAATGTTTGTACATTTCAGGATTATTTTTGTGCTTTGCTGTGCCCACTCTCACTAGGTCTGTATCTAGCGCCACCAATGAGTTTATAACCAGCTTGGCTTCATTACAGAGGGCAACAGCTTAATCTATGTTCCCTCTAGTGCAGATAATGCAGAAATATTTTTCCAGGTATAAGTGTGGTACGTGAGTATAGAAAATAATAGAATTTTAGAAAGTACTAGCATCACTCTATGGGGGAGTAAATATTTGTTACAACACCCAAACATCCTCCAATAACACCAGACTTTTTGGATTCCCAGTGATTGTCATGAGAGAGCTCAGGAAGACCCCATAAAAAAGAAATATTGAAATACTCTGCTTTCCATCTTAGAAATATGTTTTTAAGTAAACAATACATCTAGAAAAATGCATTCTAGTACTGTATATATCGTTAAAAAGGCAAAGCTCAGATATTTGATAGCTTTCATCAAGTTATGTTTCAGTAATACATTACTAATGCATCCCTTTAAACCTATTGTGAAGTGTTACCATTGTTAATTAATCATTCAGCAGTAATTTTATTATTCTGTGAAGAATATGAAATGCAGCGTCGTCAAATATTTTGCAAATCTACTAAGCCACTAAAAATATTTAACAAGCTCCATGAATTAAAAAATGTCTTGCAATAGCAACAGTTACTTGTAGCCTTTAGTCACACTACAGGTGCAACACCCATGCCATCTACTGGACAATATAAAGACATTTTGTATTTTTAAAAGGCTTTGTAAAAGTCTTAATTTACTCACCAGTATTTATTTATTATTAAATTGTTGAATTATTGTTCTTTATAGAATTCCTGTTTCAATCATAAAGTATTCAGACTGACAGTCTCTGTTTTGTCCCTGTAATAAAGTAAGTATTGTACACCCTCAGATAAATTTACAAGATGGAGTACTATTCTTAGTTATAATGACATTTTTCCTTTTTAAAAATGTGTACTGGAATAGTACATTAACACTTCCCATTATACAGTACCTTAACTGATGCAACAGCAGCATGTCAAATGCAATGAGTACAAAAATGTACAAAAAGAAAGTAACTGAAAAGTTATAACACATGTTGGAAACCTATCACTCACGTACAGCCTTAATAGAAACAAAGAAATTACGTGTTTTTAATTTTTTAGAAAAATACTGCAAAAAATTACCTTTAAAATTAAAAACATGGGGAGGATATCCATCAACAATAGGTTGATAAATGAAAATAATAATGAATCTGAGACACTCACAATAAAATGCTAATGTGGTTCATAATGCATGTTTGAGAGAAAGACTGCCCACTGCTCCCACCAATCACCCGCTCAATGTGGTGTACATTTTAGGCTATTCCAGCATTCTTTGCCATATAAATCAAAAGTATTAGTTGCTGAGTTTTTTTTGTATGTCCTAGACTTTGAAATGAAGCCTGGTGCATAAAGTGTTGAGCATTGTAAAATTGGTTACATTATACTGTATATACAGTAGTTAACTTAATTTCTAACATTATGATTCATGTGAAGAAAACATATTATTGGAATGGCCCTGTAAGTTATACCCCATCTACAATATTAGTGCTCCAGAAAAGGTTGACCATCTGTGTTGAATTTGCTACCCGGTAACATTAATGGACCCACTTACTATATATTTCCTCTTATAAGCTACCACACATTTACATTTCAGGAATGTAAACCTCGCAGTTGGCAAGGGATTACTTAAGTCTGACTTTAATTATAACCAACTATGTTGTCCCTGCATCTTCTGTAAGTTTGATTTTTTTTAATGCCCACGACCGGAATATGTT